TAAAAATAGACCCATCACTTAAATTTAATTTCTTATTAACACAAATAAATTTGTTAAAGAAAGCTCCAATAACTAAATTAATTACTTCAATATTAATTATATTTTCATTGGTTATTACAACAATATCTCTGTTTACATACAATCTTAAACTATCATCAGCTATAAAAATAGACCCATCACTTAAATTTAATTTCTTATTAACACAAATAAATTTGTTAAAGAAAGCTCCAATAACTAAATGATTATACTTAAAATTAAAAATCACTAAAAATTTTTCTACAGGAGGATTAAATTGTAAACTTACATTTTTAAATATTCTATGTTTTAAAATCTCTACCTTACTTAAACATCTTGTTATAATTTTTAGTATGATAAGTTGGGAAGCATGATTATTTGTTTGAATAAGACAATCAAATATTTTATCTTTATTATTAATAATATACTTTGAATAGAATGACGTTTTTGTTGTCTTATTACAAGATAGATGTAACATTTTCAATTCCTCATAGTTTGGAGAAGGTGTTGTTAATGTACTGATTAACTGTTCTTGTTGCATAAATAAAAAACTAAAAAATAATTTATATGTTAAAATATTTGTTTCTTTTAACAAACAAAAATAGTTAAATTTTTTATTTATTAAAAATGATCAACTTTATAAACATAAATTCCTGTATCACTGTTATAATCTACGAAACGTTTATTTTTGTCATGTTGAAGTTCATATAGCAAACGATCCAAATTACTCTTTAAAAATTTTCTATTTTGATCCTTAGGATTACTGTAAGTGTAATAAGTGAGATTGGTAGTAGAATCTCTGATATTTTCAGGAGGAAATACATTTTCAACATAAACTTTAGCAGACTTATTAAGACCATAACCTACTTTGTCCTTGACAATAACATCTCTTCCATAAAATTTTATATCCAACTCACCAATTTCAGACACAATAATGGGTTCTAAATACTCAATTCTACCTTTGCCTTCAACAGTAATAACAAAAGGATGAACAATATCAAGACTTCTAAAATCAGAAGGTGTTACAAAAACACCTTTTTCAGCCTTTGAATGGGGATCTCTTAACGACAATTCAATACGAGGCTGTACTGTATCATGTTTGAATATTTCCTTCGGAATACCCTGACCGGGTTTAAATTGAATTGGTTTTGATTGAATGAACTTTATAGATGAAATAGCAAATGGATCATCTAATGCAATCTTATTTGAAACAATAGTATTAGTAGGATTAGTAAATAGATTACCTGTGGTATTTATATTACCAAATGGATTAGTATTTGTGTTATTAAAAGGATTATTTTGATTATTAGTACTAAAAGGATTTGTAATTGTTGTATTACCAAATGGATTAGTAGTAGTTTTATTACCAAATGGATTTACAGTAGTTGTATTATTTTGATTATTAGTACTAAAAGGATTAGTAGTTGTTGTATTACCAAAAGGATTAGTAGTAGTTAAAGGTTTTTGAGAATTAAAAGGATTAGTAGATTGAGTAGTAGATAAAGTATTTGGTTGATTACCACCAAATAAATTAGTAGTAGAACCAGTTACATTAGAAGTGTTACTGAATGGATTTTGAGTTGGTTGTGTAGTAGACTGTCCAAGTAAAGTAGGTTGAGTAGCAGATTGAAAAGGATTTGTCAAACTAGGTTGTGTAACCTGGGATGATTGACCAAATGGACTAACACCACTATTAACAGGTTGAGAGATTGTAGTACCAAAAGGTGCACTACTAAAAGTTTCATTAGGCTTGTTAAACCCAAAAGTATTAGATGGCTGAGTAGTAGTTAGTGTATTAGAATTGAATAATGAACTTATAGGTTTAGGATTGCTATTACTAAATGTATTAGATGAAGTACCACTTCCAAATGTATTACCCATTTGAAATTGATTATTAACAGCAGGTGTGTTCATAGAAAATCCACTAGTCATAGAATTTCCTAAAGGTGCTATTGCCGTACTCGAACCTCCCGGTTTCATTCCAACAGAATAATCTTCACTTCTCAATAAATCAATTGACTTGTTATTAGCTTGAGGAATACAAGTTATATCAACTGCCTCAACTTTAGAGTAATTCTCATTAAATGGTGTCTCCTTATAAACAATATTGGCTGTTCCTTTAGATGAACCAAATCCCATTCCAGTTGTTCCTCCCATTCCAGTTGATCCACCAAATCCAGTAGTATTAGATGTACCAAATATGTTGTTATTCATACCAAATCCAGTCCCAAAACCTGTAGTATTACTATCCTTGTTCCATGTAGACTGCGTACCAAACTTATTAGTGTTATTAAGTGCATTATTAGATGAATTAAATGTATTCAATCCACCAGTATTATTAAATCCACCAGTGTTATTAAATCCAAATACTCCTGTGTTATTAAACCCAGTAGTATTAAAACCAGTATTATTAATTTTCATATTTGTACCAAATGGTGTAATTTGATTATTGTTACTTGATTGTTGATTATTATTAAATGCTCCTTGTCCAAATCCAAACTTATTCTTATTTTCTTGATTGTTAAATCCTTCAAAAGTCATGGGTTAAAAAATTTAATTAAATTTGAATTCTCACGAAACAAATAAGTTTATTTTAATTTACGTTTCTTTCTTCCAGAATCTTTGTCTGTATCTGATTCCATTGCAACTATTGTAACCAGTGGAATCTTATACATCCTGTTGTTATGTGAGACATCTAGATTGGAAACTACAAACTTCCAGACTCCCTCCACAAAATTATATGTTAGTATTTTGCCGCTGAAATTTATCGATGTATGATTGATCTTCAAAAACCTCTCTACAAAATCATCATATTTGGCTGCTATATATCTTCCTTGTTCTTCCGTTATTAAATTGTTTTTTATTTTATCTTCTATCAAATCCATTAAAGCTCTTCCTACTATGAGGGTTCTATAAATTTCGGGCATTTTTGAGGATTAAATTTCTTTAAGTTTTTTTAAAACTATTTATAATGTAATTTTATTTAGTTTTCATCTACTAATAATAATTTTATTATTAAATTAGTCTTATACTTTTAAATTTTAAATATAATGATTAAAGATTCTATTGTTAGTTAAAAAATTATAGGAATTAATAAGTTAAAAATTAAGAAAATAAAAATTTTATTAAAAAGCTATTAAATGTTTTATTTATTAAATAACATTATTTTTTAATAATTTAAGAAGTATAATAAACATTATATATTTGATTTATTATATGAAATATCTTAAAGATGATTCTTACTTAAATTATGTTTTAACAAATTGTTTAAATAAATCTAATGTTTTTAAAATTATATAAGATGATTCAAATGTATTAGATTGTTTGTTAGTTAAATATTATTTAGAAAAATAACTTGTTGTTTAACTATAAAATTTTTTTAATTTTTCATATTTTGAATAGTCTTTTAAATTTAAGAAATAAACAAGTATTAATAATAAGTTGTTAATATTTAGATTTATTTTAATGATAAAAATATTTTAAATAATATAAGAAGAAAATAAAATCCTTATTTTGTACTATTAAAACAAACTATTTAAATTAAAATCAACTAGTGAATTAAAAAAATTTACCATTTTAAACTTAAATTTATAATTTCTAAATATTTTTCTTAAAAAAGTAGAAAGAAATTCATATAAAGTATAATTTTTATTAATAATTTGTAAATGATTTAAAAAGTTTTATTATTAAAATTGTCAGTTAAATAATTTTACTAACAGTTATTAAAAAATTTAGATCAATTAATTTGTTTTTAGAAAATAATAAATTATCAATTATTTTAATGATATAAAAATAGATGTTTCTATTATAAACAATTTAAAATATTACATTGAAGTATATTATTTACTAATTAATTCTCTAAGTTATTATTTCTATTATTCATTATGAATTTTATGAGTAAAATTTTTAAAAAAATAAAATCGTAATAATAAAATAGTTTTAACCTTAACAAATCATATGTTGTGTTTATCATAAATTTAAAAAACTTTATTTTATTCTGTGTTAATTAGTTTATAAACATAAAATATTAAAGTTTAAGTAAATAAAAAAACTTAAATTTTTTTAATTCAAAAATCTGTTGTTTTTAAAAAAGTAAAACCAATATCATAATTATGGTAAAAATATAAATAGTAAAAATAAGGATGTTTTTGTGTTTTTAATAAAAAAACTAGAAGATCTGGAAGAGAAATAAATTTAAACAGGTGTGTTAATGATAAAAACAAAAGAGTTTTTATTGACTTACAATCATTCTAATCATAAAAATTAATACACGTGTTAAACATCCTTATTATAAAATGTAAGTCGATGTAAAAAATAAAAGGAAAATATATAAATAGTTAAAACTAAAATTAATAATATTAGATCAATAACAATGTTTAATTTTAAAGAAAAGTTAATTATAAGGTAAGATCTAAATTGAATATTAAGTATGCTTTTATAACAAGAATAAAGAATTTACATTTGAAATATAATTAATTAATTTACCTAATAAATCATCATTTTATTGTATAAATTACTTTATTATTGAAGATAAAAAAACAGAATCATATGACAATTATAAAAAATTAGAGGTTTGTGCAGGTTCTTTCATCATTATTTTTAAAGAAAAATATAATAAAAAAATGAATTTATCAATTCTTTTAAAAAATTAAAAATTTTTATAATATTAGATTTAATCAAGTAAGTGGAAATAATTTTACTTACAAAAACCAAACAAATTTTAAAATGATGAAGGATGCACCATTTAAATCATATTATAAAATTTCATAGTTAATTGTTTTATATAAAAGTATAATTATAAAAAATGTTTTATAACAATTAACAATTTTTTGAACATAAATACAATTATTAATTAAAGCTTTTTATAATTTCATACAAAAAAATCGTTTTGAGTTATATAATCTTAATTAACTAACAAGTACATTGTGTAATTCTAATTTTTTTATTAGCGTTTTTAAACAAATCAATATTTATAAATTAAAAAATTAATTTTTTTTAATCAAAATGAACTTTAAATTATATAATCTACTGCTTCTTAAAATTATAGAAACAACATATTCTGAGGTAGACAATAAAAAAGATGAAGAAATGGATGAAGCAGAAATAGATGAACAAATTAATAAAACTTCTATGATACTACATCAACTTTTATCAGAAGCTGGTATTAATATACCTCAAAGCTCAGAAAATGAAATGAATCCTCGATTAAATGATAATAGTTACACATCACAAAGTAGTTATTGTGAGAAATCCAGTAAAAAAACTTTAAAAAGATATGATGAAATAGACTTAAAACATCATTATTCAAGAAAACCATATGAAAAATCATTAAAATTCGAATCAAAAAATAAAATAACAAGAAGAGAGAAGAATTTTTATAAAGAATCAACAGATGAAAATGAATTTGATTATTTAGAATTATTAAATTTTCTAGAAGAGAGTGATTCATTTGAGAATGGTTTTTATAAAGAAATAACTGAAATTATAGAAATAACAGAAAAAAAAATTTGTAGAGTTAAAATTGAAACTAATGATTTTAGATCACTTGTATTTGATTTTAAAGATAGTGTTAATTTGGAAAATGAAACAATACAAGAACAAATACTTTTATATAATTTAAATAATGACTCTATATTTAGAATAGAAGAAGAAATTACTAATCATGATGCGTTTTATTATGTATATTGTTATGTTGAAGAGTATGCTGAAATTGACCCAGAAAATAATTTAGAAATGTTTAAAGTGCCTTATTACTGTAAAGAAGATTGTGAACAAAAAAAGAATCTTTCATTATATTTTAAGTTTTTTAAAATAAAAAATGGATATACAAATGATGAAATTAAAAAAGTACCATTTTAATTTAGAATGGGATGATGTCTTTTTTGTAGTGAGGAAAGATAAACCTTATAAAAATTATTAGTATTTAATTAATAAACAGCTGTTTATGTTTTAATATTTATAAACTAAATTGTATTTTAGCTTGTGTATAAGTTTACTAGTATTAGAAAAATTAATAATCATTTTTTAATATAATTTATACTCTTAAAAATTTAAATTTATAAAAAGCTATCGATTATCATTAAACTAACAAAAAACTGTAAAACTTAGATCAACTCCCTTTTTTCTTCCCAAAACAAAAACAAGTCCTTTTTTCCCAGAAAAAT